TGTTGCTCTGACACACGTGGCCATTGTGTACCTTGACTGACATCTCTGAACTGTTTGTGGAAGTTCCGAGTTCGAGAGACTGTCGTACATGCCTCCCGGTCTGATAAGTGTTCGTTGTGAACTAAAATAATAAGGCGATTTACAATAAATGTAGCCCGTAAATTAGGAAACGTATTTGTTTTAATCATCCATGCATGCCCTCTGTTATCTTATGGGAGAACTGTACTCCAGTGTGTTTGAATTTCCCACTGTCGTAAGAACACAGGAAGAATGTTGAAACAGTCTGCAACCTTTTTAATAACTACGTCACATATTTTAGTAGAATATTCTGGTTTTGGTGAGGGGCATTTCTTCTGTAACGGAATTTAAGAGGGAGAACCGGGCATAAAAGGGAATTTAAATGACAGATGCACGTGAAACTGATCGCTTCAACAAAATTGTATGACAGTTATTGTCATTATTATGTTTTTCTTTGGCTGTTATCGTGGAGTTGTTTATTAAAATGACAACGTACCGTTTAAACACTTAGTTTTATAGCTCATTGCGTTGAGGATACTGGATGCCTGTCCGCTTTCAGATAGGCCAGGTTCATCTACTCTCTGTGCTGTCTCTTACATATGTTAAGTAGTGGAGCCATTGATTTCTGAAGCTCCTGATTTCTTGTCCTTGTGTTTTTATCCCCCAGAGTTGTTCGTCCTGTGGTTTCGTAATTTCTTCTTCCTGTTCGTGGTTCCCGATGTTCAGAATCCCTCGCAGTTGTACACAACGCGCGTTCCTCGCGACGACGTTTCCGACGCGCACAGTACTCTTGGGGAAGGCGTCGGTCACACCTCCTGCATGAGGTAATGAAACTTAGCTGCCAGGATGAGACGAAGGTCAACTGTGTCACGGAGTTGTGACGTCACGTCACGCGTGTTGCTCTGACACACGTGGCCATTGTGTACCTTGACTGACATCTCTGAACTGTTTGTGGAAGTTCCGAGTTCGAGAGACTGTCGTACATGCCTCCCGGTCTGATTTATAATTTCGCCCTGTGGACCGGACCACGTCATCAGAGAAAGGGAAAAGCTAGTATAAGAGTGCGACATTGAACACTAATTTCGTTTTGAAGGCTGAATCAAAAATGTACCAGAAGCGACGTGGAAATAACATGAGCTGCACCTGATGTTTGGATTTTCAAACCAAGGTCGGTTAGGTGGATAGGGTCTGAAACACGTCTGGTAGAATGAAGTGTTTACAAACGGAGAACTCCTAGAGGAAATACTGCTTGCGAGACTAGACATGGTAGGAGGAAAATGTTTAAAACGTGTCTGAGATGAAAGCGGTATCATGTGGCTAGGGGTAGGAGCAAATAGTGGGCTTTTGTGAACACGGCGATGATCCGTGGCGGCTTATAAATAGCACAGATTTTTGTGAAGAGTAGGTGTGGAAGGGTTTTCAGATTTTGTAACTTGTCGCTGAATTATTTTAAACAAGAATTGTCCACGTGTGTGACGGCCAGGCGAAGGTCATGTTGGCCCTGTGACTAGGAGCTTGTATTTGCACTACTGCAGTGAGTCTGTACATTTAGCACCATTTCGTGTAGCTGGACTTCAACATAAAAGATATTTGAGGACTGCGTCGAAAATTCCGAGGTTCTGTTCCCGGTAGTTATAGGGATTTTTATCTTCACGGCGTCGAGCAGACTGGCTGTGGATCCACCCAAGGTCATTGTTGGAAGACATTGTTGTGCATGAGGTACCAGGATTTTGTTAGTGCAAATATGGCCAAAGAAGCATTAACGACCTGGGATCGCATTGGTGGAACAACGGCCTACATGATGTGTCGTGAAGAACACGTCTGGTATGCCAGTGTACTTCAGAGTCCGCCTTTCCGATGCTGTCGAACAACATAATTTCAGCTGCAGAGTTTATTCACAGACGAATGTGATAGGAAGATGGTCATGAATGCTGGTGAGTAGGCAAGTATTTGAAAGGAGACTGCTGTGGCCTGTTTTAAGGTACTGTCCGTTCGTTTGGCTTGAGAGACAAATAAAAACATGGAACCCCTCTTTGTACAGCCTGTGGCCGAAATTCAAACCTGGTGTCTCGCGAATACAATTCTACAGCTTGGTGCCGTGGTATAGAATCCGTGTTTTATCTCCACGCCACCTCTTCGCCTTCTATAGCCCACGTGTGCGTCATCGTAGAGGAAGATTTTATCAGCAGTTGAATTTTGCTAACATAAAAAAACGGAAGTCGATATATCGATTATGTTGCTGTGGAGGGCACTAGCGACCGGCCCTCAGACGGTGGGAGCTGTAGAAGGAGCTCTGTTCATCGGGGTGGGGTGAACCAGTGTTGCCAACATTGAGAAAACTCCCCCTTCTCTCACAGCCTTCGTCAACAATTTGGTGTTGGAGATCTGCCCAGTACTTTATCGCGAAATTTTCTCATGGCCATTTGATCGCGTTAAGTACTGTGTGTGTGCTGTTTTCTGGTGTTCTTACGAGTGACTGTGGCTTAAACAGCTCAACTCTCTCCTCTCAGATTTGGTGAAAGGAATTTCATTACCACATCGCTCAGTATTTCTGTTTCATTATCAACAGTCATTAAGCTCTTCCTCGCCATTTCGACAAACGAAGTAACGCGACATACTTCTGTGTACGTGTTTTATTTGTTCCTGTCTATTTGTGGTTTATTTGACAACGCTGTCAGTAACTCATACTATACAGCACATTGAAAGACGGTGATTAGTAAATAATGAATTAGAAAAGATGCGGAAAAACACCAAAGAACTGTCGTAGTAGGTCTCTGGGCTGCGTTTTGGACCTGTGATTTACTTCAC